GAAAATGAACTGGTTAAAGATTGTATGATAAAGTGGGCACAAAATTTTGCAGAACCAGTGATGTTGGAAACATGGGAAAAAATATGGGTCCAGAATGCTAAATTTACACAGTCGCAGAACTTGAGGGAAAATTTTTATAAAATGTTTTATAGGTGGCATTTAGATCCTAAGAAACTATCGTGCATGTATCCTAATGTTCAACCAAAATGTTGGAGATGTGATTCATATTAACTGCTGCAAGAATAACCTACGCAAGAAATTGGAAGCAAGAAAAAATACCAAGTGAAACAGAAGTAATAGGGAAAATTTTAGAATGCGCTGAAATGGATAGGTTAACCAAAGAATTACAAGAAAGAGAAGAATCAGACTATTATAAAATATGGAATAATTGGTATAATTGGTTAAAAATCAGAAATATACAAAAAATATAGGGGAAATATTACCGATTTATATATATATATATAATAAAAATATTATTAGATTAAGGAGAGGTGAAGGAATATATCATAAGTAGAATTGTAGAACGTCACTCTGAAAAAATGCTTAAGAAGAAATTACACTCTTTTTGTGTATATGTTGTATAAATGTTTGTTGTGTATATGTTACGTATGTCTTTTTTAATATTTATATTCAATAAAAACTACTTTAAAAAAATGTTGGAGATGTGATTGTTTAGATGCCACATATTATCATATATGGTGGACTGCAAGAAAGCGAAGGCTTTTTGGATAAAAATTTGGTGGTTTATGCAAAATGTTTTGAAGAAAAAACTTTAGTTTTCTCCACAATTGTTTTTATTGGGTATAGTTAAGGGTTTTACATTGGGTGAAACAAAGCTGATATTGTATATGGTGACAGCAGTGAGATTATTGATAGGCCAATATTGGAAAAATGATGCCATGCCCACTATTGAAGAATGGACTTTGAAGATGGCCAGTTTTGCAGAGATGGCGAAGATTTCAGCATATTTAAAAGATCGAACTCAAGAGACTTATGTATGGGAGTGGAAAAAGTGGATAGAATATGTGCAGAATAAATATCAAACTAGGAAATATCAGATAGCTTTTAGCTGAATGTATTATGTAGGGATAGATTAACTGAGTTCTATGAAGATATAAATAGTACACAGGGGGTGGAGGGGTTTAAGTTTCAAAAAATGTAATTTTGATTTGGATTTTATCTAGAGGAAGTCATGGGGGAGGGGAGGGTTAGGGAGGGTTTGGGGGGGGAATTGGGCAGAAAATGTATTTGTAAAACTTTTTAAATAAAAAAAAAAGAATGGAGGTATAGCTAATCTAATCTAATGAAGAGAAGGACTAGAGGTAATATGATAGCAGGCTTCCAGTATTTGACAAGCTCTCACAAAGAACAAGGGTTGAACTATTATCCAAAGCTTCTCAGGGCAGGACAAGAAGTATAATAGGTGGAAGATAATTAAAAAGAGATCCAAGCTTGAAATAAGGAGAAATAAGGAGAGAGCAATTAATCAGTGGAATGGCTTATCCTTAGAAACTGTGGGTACTCCATCACTAGAGATTTTCAAGAAGAGATTAGGCAGCCATTTGTCTGGAATGGTCTAAAGCCGTGATGGCGAACCTATGGCACGCGTGCCACAGGTGGCACACGGAGCCATATTAGTGGGCACGCCAGCTCAGCTCTGGGGCGCATGAGCGTGCCGGCCAGCTGATTTTCGGGCCTTCTGGGCCCACCAAAAGTAGGGAAACAGGCTGTTTCCTGCCTCTGGAGGGCCTGGGGGCGGGGTGGGGAAGGCCCGTTTTTCTTTCTTACCTGGCTCCAGATCCTCTCTGTGTATCTGGGAAGGGCGAAAACAGCCTTTTCCACTCCCTTGGAGGCCCTACGGAGGCTGAAAGGGCCCATTTCCCGACTCCCGGTGGGACAGGAAGTGACGTTTTTCCTCCTAGAGACTCCTAGAGAAGCTCCTAGAGACTCCTAGAGAGGCTCCTAGAGACTCCGAGAGTTGAGAAATGGGCCCTTTCAGCCTCCGTAGGGCCTCCAAGGGAGTGGGAAAGGCTGTTTTCGCCCTTCCCAGATACACAGAGAGGATCTGGAACCAGGTAAGAAAGAAAAACGGGCCTACCAGGCCATCATGTGCCAGGAGCGGGGGGGAGGGGGGAGGGGGTTGCACACGCATGCGCGTGGGCACATGCGCGTGTGACCCTCCCCCGCCCCCCCTCTCCTGGCACGCGATGGTAAAAAGGTTAGCCATCACTGGTCTAAAGTATATTACTCAAGATGGGGGTTGGACTAGAAATCCTCCAAGGTCCCTTCCAATCCTGTTATTCTAGTTCACAGAAGTTGGAGGGAACCATGACACCAGGAATTCTTTGGAGTGGATGGATACAAATCAAGTAGAAATAAATAAAAGGAAATGTGAAAATGAAAAAAAAAACACCTCCCTGCATTCAGAGAGAATTATTTGGATGTGTACAATAAGACACCAGATACCCAACCACAGAATCTGCCTAAATTTATAATGCAATTTATGACTGTATAGTTTTGACTCCAAGTTTATATTACTAGGAATCACATAAATGCATATATAAAAGAGCAAGCGCTTTAGTACACATATAACATCTCTTGCGAGTGCAGTTAACTAGACACCAGATTTCACTCTGCCATTATGTACTCTGGAGCCAATAACCCTCATCCCCCACCCCAATGCCTACTTCATTTCACAGAAAAGGGGCAGTGGAAATTTCCCTTCCAGTTCTAATAGCATGCTAGAAGATAAATTGGGTAGAAAAAAATGGTAAATGTAAGTTATTTGACCTAATTCCAACCAAATATCATGCTTGCAGATAGAAGTAGGTCAGAATGAGCATGCATGGATGAAACAACAGAATGGCAAAAATCTTTCCATCTAAGTAGGTCTTTTGGTTTGAAACAATGACTATTTTCCTCTGGTCTTTCATCAGCCTTCAGTAATTTATTAGTATTTATTCTTGTTATAGCACTTTAAAGGTTTTGGAATATTTTGGTATGCATAAAGACATGCTAGTGAGCTGGTATGCCTTCCTGAATAATACTAATAAAATAATTGTCCTTTACAGGATTACACCAAAATGTCTGCCCTGGGCGTTGGCCAACCAGATGCTTTCATAAATCAGAGACCATCATCCCATGCTCCTCAGGCACATAACCTATGGACTTTCTAATGATCACCTTTAAAGTTGTAGGCATTGTCCTCTTTCAAAGCCAAATCACTGATCATCCCCATCACACATTAGTGAATTTCATGTTAAAAATTTATAACAATGAGCAAGAAAGGACAGAGAGTCACAATTGTCAAATCAACTGACAATTAGATTGCATGCCTGAAAGCAGAGTGTTTCAGAAAACGTAGTGTCACTGTGGAAGAGATTGTGCATACTGAAAATACCTTATGCCATTTCAAAGTTAGTAACAAATGTCCCCATTATCCCATTGTAAGTGGACTCATAAACACATTCGAGAGCTGGGAGAGAACAGCAGACTGCTAATCTCTGCCCAGAAAAACCACTTTCCATTTCATATACCTGGGGAAAGTGATGGTAGTTTACTGATTGTCCTTGCATATTTTTCTTGTTATTAGACTTTGGTATTCTAAAGTTTGTGAAGGAAAGGGATTTTCATCAGCTGGACTAAATCAATCCTGATGGTTTAATGAATATCTTTCTAATCCTAATATTCTTTTACTTGAATTGATTGAATGAGGGATGAGGGAATAATTATACTGACACATCTCATGTTGGAGGTCTGTTTATGAAGTGAATGAAACAGGGAGCAAACTTTGATGTTATTTGTTTACTCTGACACCTTTTATATACCAGAACATACAAAGTTTTAATGATATTCATTAGCAAATAAGTTTCATGTGAAATAACATATTTTTAAGCAATATAATCTAATATAAACTAATACATGACTGAAAAATGCTCTTCAAAACAAAATATTGAAACACTAATGTGATATTTGAAACCTGTAACAATATTCAAAATTGTGAGGAATTTCAAATGATTTTGGAGATGTTACCTTATTGTTTCCTGGAGAAGATGTGTATGTGGTAGCATTCCTTTCCAACATAAATTACCAAATTAAACCTGTACTATCTGAATATAATATAATGTAGAATATGTACTATTGTTTAAAATTTCAATGATGGTCTATATTTTTTTTTCATTAGGGACTTTAGGAAGAAAGGGAAGATTATGTAAATCAACACCAAAAAAAATCAAATTCATATTCACCTAACAGGAAAATTCTGAAAGTGGTTGGGATGAATGTGGAGCTACACCAACTTAGGTAACCCCAGTAACTTTGACATTTGAGAGAAGACTTTTTTCTGGCAAGAAAACCAAGGCTTCCACTTTATGCAAGGAGAACCAATAAAGTAAAACATATATTGTTCCTTTGCAAGTTTGCACAAAATACAATTAAAAACACGAAATATTCTGTTTCTGCTGAGGCCAAATTTGTGTGGAATTTCTTCACAATACTGTCATCATAATTTTAAGATGACCTAAAATAAGATTGTGCTGATTCTAGACTTTTAAGAATTTTTTACTCAAAAGCATGGGGAGAATAATAACAAAAACAATTAAACAAATGCAGCAAATAAAAAAAAAACCTTATTCCTACTCTCCACATCTCTATAATGTATGCACATAAAATATGGCACATAACAATTAATACCAAATGGGGATAGGAATAATCTTTATTTAGCCAAATTGAAGGGAGGAGAGAATGAAAGTGGGCACAACTAGAAAGGAATAAGAAATGGAAATGTATTTATATTCTCCTGACAGGCCCATATTAGGAATGTGAATGATGCCCACATAGCTTGTAAAAAATGCCATTTCCAGCAAGTACTAATCAACACCTTCAATGTCAACACAAGCTTGCTCTGCTAGTTCAGCTTCTGTTCTGCACCAGGGGCAGTGGAAAGGCCAGAGCTCAGCAAGCATGCTTGGGTAGGATTGTCACACGCTCCTGTTCCCCACCTCCTATGCTGTGCAATGATTCCAGCCTGCTCAGGTACTCCTCACTTTTTCCAAGGACCTCTTCTAGCTGTCCACGGAGTGCCTGGATCTTCTCCAGTTCTACTTGAAGGATCTGTTCTTGTCTGGAGTTGGTGAGGCCAAGCACAAAAGAAAGGAGATTAGGATAAGGTGTACCAACTTTTTCTGAACACAATATGGATCCTACAAATTGTAACAATAATGTCACTACTATACTGACATGAAGAAAAGAGTGGAAAATTATAGGCATACAAACAGACAACTCCCCAATCCTTTTCAGCACTGTGAACCAACAATCTTTTTTAGATATGCAATGAGTAATAGGAAAATAAAAGGGATGTGGTGGCTCAGTGGCTAAGATGCTGAGTGTGTCAATCAAAAGGTTGGCAGTTCAGCGGTTCAAATCCCTAGAGCCGCATAACTGGGTGAGCTCTTGTTACTTGTCCCAGCGTCTGCCAACCTAGCAGTTCGAAAGCACATAAAAAATGCAAGTAGAAAAATAGGGACCACCTTTGGTGGGAAGGTAACAGCATTCCGTGCGCCTTTGGCATTTAGTCATGCCAGCCACATGACCATGGAGACGTTTTCAGACAGTGCTGGCTCTTCGGCTTTGAAATGGAGATGAGCACCGCCCCCTAGAGTCAGGAACGACTAGCACATATGTGCGAGGGGAACGTTTACCTTTACTTTAATAGGAATATACCAATCTTTTTTTTGCAACTAAAAAAGGGGAATAAATTGTCTTCCTCACCTGTCAGGGTGAGCATGAAACTTCACCAAATCGCAATAGAGTTGCTTTTCTACTTTCAGAGTTTCACTCAGCTGCTTCTTCTCTGCTACTAAGCCCTCCAACATCACCAGTAGCTGCAACATGAACAGTCCACATTAATTGGCAATAAATGTAGGTTTTATTGCTTACATTTAAGTTTGCTACAAGTCCTTTTCTTGTCAGGTTTTTGAAAGTGGTTTGCCATGGCCTTCCTCCTGGGAATGAGAGAGGGACTGGCCCAGAGTCATCCAGCTGACTTTGTGCTTAAGGTAGGAATCACTCACAATCTCTAGCCTGATGCTTTATCTGCTATACAAAAGTGGCTCTCAGTGTATCTCAGCAATACCATAAAAATAATAACACAATATACAGAATCCCATTTCCTTTGAACAAAGGCAGGATAGAAGTCATGCTAGTTGAATTCATCATCACCTTTTCAATCATACCTGCTGCCTTTTGTTTCCTATGGTTTCCTGTCCCCGTGCTTCCAGTTTTGCTACCTTTTCCTGAAGCATCAAAACTTCCTGAGTAAGTCGTTCAATTGCTGGTATTTCTTCAGGGTCAATCAATTGCATCTGCAAGTCCTGAAAAAGAACAAGAATATGTCCTGGAGAATTAAAGAAAGAAACTCAGTGTTATGGAACTTGACAGGGGAAAACAACAACAAAACTTTAATGATATGATTACCGTACTTTTCAGAGTATAAGATGCACTCCCCCCCCCAAAAGAGGGTGGAAATGTTGGTGCATCTTATACACCGAATACATTTTGGCCTCCTGAAACCCCACCCCGCGCGTCCAGTTTTTGCCAAAAACAGGCCCATTTTTCGCAAACAGGATGCACAGAGGGTTTGGGAGGCCTGCACAGTACTCCTGGGGGCTGGGGAGGGCAAAAACACGATGCGTGAGAGGTTTGGGAGACCAAAAACAGCCCAGTTTTTGCCCGTTTTGCCCTCCCCAGCCCCCAGGAGCACTCTGCAGGCCTCCCAAACCCGCTGCGCATCCTGTTTTTGCTAAAAACAGTCCCGTTTTTGGCCTCCCAAACCCCCCACACATCGCATTTTTGCACTCCACAGCCCCCAGGAGCACTCTGAAGGCCTCCCAAACCCTCTGAGCATTCCGTTTTTGTGAAAAATGAGCCCATTTTTTGCAAAAATGGGATGTGCAGAGTGTTTGGGAGGCCTGCATATTACTCCTGGGGGCCGTGGAGGGCAAAAGCTATTTATTTTCTTGTTTTCCTCTTCGAAATCTTGGTGAATCTTATACTCCAATCTTATAGTCTGAAAAATACGGTAATTTTCAAAGAAGCTTTCAAATTAAAAGTCTAGCACAGGTCTGGGATTAAAGACAAAATGAACAAGTCTGTTTTATATTAAAAATCCTACTGCTTATAACTATATATAATATATTGATATTAAAATGTACATTTTCTACTTTCTGGAACAAAGACGAAGAAACAGGAAATCAATACAACTTGCTCACTACTACAAACAGCATAAAATCTGCAGAAAGACAAAACTGAAAATATTTTTGTAAGCAATCTAACCTTAATTAGTTCTTCTTTGATCTGGGTACTTCTAGTAAGAGATTCAATATCAGAGGATTGAACTTGAAGCTCCTCCTCTTGGGAAGCCACTACAGACTTAAGAGTAGAGAGTTTCAGCTGAGATGGGAGAAAACAAATTTTGAAACCAAGATAATTTTGTACCCAGAAATCCCAAATTCCTTTGATAGTGATAGACCAACCATTTGGCACAATGATCTTTCCTATAATAGGATTTTGGATCCTATGGTCTAAGAGTCCAGAGCTATCTTTCTTTGATTGGAAGAATAGGTGTTAGGCATTAAACACTATTTTAACCAAGCTAAAAATTGAGCTGCAAATTCCATTGTTCTATGGGTCTCATAAAAGGAAGATAAACTGCCTTGGAGAAAGTGCTCCATAAAAAACAAAACCATTTATGTCTATGGAACATTAAAGCCAAAGTATGGAATAAAGCCAGTTCCTAGAAGTGAGGAACCCAATAAAGTTGAACGTTGACCCAGTTTCAAATGTATCGCCACTGCAATGCCCCCAAAGTCATTTACACTCAAGAGTGAGAAGCAGCTCGAGGTGGCCGTGGCCGGTATCAGGCGATATGGTGTGGATTATGGAGCTCCAGGAGAGCACTGATATCCTAGCCGATTTTGGGGATCCCTAGGGATCATAGCTGTCTTGTGGAGACAGTGAAGAAAGAAGATGCTGGCTGGCATGGATAGGGAATGAGCAAGTTCCCTGAAGCGCTGGCATTAGTCTTCAACCCATCAGCGAAGGAAGGCAGCCATTAAGGAGCTGTCACAAGCCAGAATGGCCACGATCAGAAAGAGGGAATGTCAGAACGGTAATTGAATGGGGTATTGTTGCCGGGAGAGTAATTAGCCAACTCACAGGTAAAGGAAAAAACTTTTAACAGCTTGAAAGAAATCCCAGCAGAAATTGGCAGCTAATTAGCACTGGGGAACTTAAGCGGAGAGAGAGAGAAAAGGAACTTTAAAATCAAACCTAACACCCTAAAAGGAATCTTCCACCTGGATTTATAATTGGATTTGGAAAAAATAAAAATAAGACAAGGAAAAAGGAGACAGAAAAATATTTTTTTAAAAACAATAAAGGATTTAATTTGGAAAAGAAGAAATAAGCATTTGTTTTTGTTGTATTATAAAATGGAGATTTTGTTGCCAGATGACTAGTGAATTGGAGGAAGACATTTGTTAGCGGAAAGAACGTGAGAGAGAGACATGGGAGTGCATATTTGTGCAGCTGAAGCAAGGTTAAAGAAACAAAGACTAAACTGTGCTGACTCAAGTAAATATTTGAAGTGAACATTTTTTTGTTTTTTAAAGAGACATTATATGGACTTTGAAACCTGAAGTATAAGAACAAGCTTAAAAATCCTAGCCTTTTAAAATTGAAAATATGGAGAATTGGGAGGATGAATATGAGACACTAAGGGAGATGTTTCAAAAAATAAGGGAAGTACTTAAGGGAAATAAAAAAGCAGAGGATTGGTTAGATGGCAAAAAAAAAAAAAAGAAAGAGAAAAAATGAATGAGAAGCAAGAGAAACAAGGAGATAATATTGAAAAGGAAATAATTGAAAAAAAAGATAAAGATGATTACACTGGGTTCAACAGTGATAGAATAAAATGGATAAGGGAAAATACATCTCAAATATGAAGATAAGATAAATAAATGGGGAAAGATTGAGAATGAAAAGCAATAGAGTTAAAATTAAAAGAAAAAGGCTGAAGGGGAGAGATAAGATAAGGAAAAAGAAGAAGGTAAAGAAATGGGAGAAAGAGAGGGAAACATCAAAAAAGAGAACTGTGGAGAGACCAAGAGAAAATGGTTAAGAGTCAGTGAAAATGTTAATTTGTCAATAAAGAGAAGGATGCTAGTTGTAGAAATTGTATGTGAAAATGCTGTTAAATGAAAAATAGAACAATGTAATGTGAAAGAATGATATTGGAAGAAGCACTAAAAGGAGAGAATAAATTATAATATAAGATTTATTTTATTTTTTATTTTATTTTAATTTGATTTATTTTAATTTGATTTATTTTAATTTGATTTATATGCAGCCCTTCTCTGAAGACTCAGGGCAGCTTACAATGTGCTCAGCAATAGCCTTTATCCTTTTGTATATTTATACAAAGTCAGCTTATTGCCCCCACAAACTGGGTCCTCATTTCACCTACCTTAGAAAGGATGGAAGGCTGAGTCAACCTTGAGCCTTGGCGAGATTCGAACCCTGCAGTAATTGCAGGCAGCTGGTCTTAATAAGCTTAATAACAGGGTGCCTTAAACTCCTGTACTACCAAGGCTCTTAATTGAAATTTAGATGGAAAATGGAAATTAAATGTAAAATTGAATGAAATTGAAATGCAAAAAATGATTTAAATAATATACTTGTAAGAAGTAAAATAGAAAAAATATATTGGTAAAAGTTAAAAGTCTAAGGGTTGGAAGATTGTTTGAGTAAAGATTTAAAAGAAAAAATGGAATAAGATGAAATATACTGCTGATAATTAAAAAGATGAGGGGAAATTTCGAGAAATATACTTGATAAATGAAAGAAAGATCGGGGTTGCCTGGACTCCATAGTGGAAAATATAAAATTGAAAATGAATACAACAACAGAGAGGGATGAAGGAAGGAGAAGAGAGATGGAAGTGAAAAGGAAGGGAAATTAGAGTAGGAGTGAGGGTAAGAGAGGGAGGAAGAGAGGAGGAGAAGGAGAAACTGGGGTGGGTTCTAAATTTTTTTACTACCGGTTCTATGGGTGTGGCTTATTTTGTGGGCGTGGCTTGATGGTCATGTGACAATTATTTAGGATTTAGCAGAGGTACTGGTCTACCAGGCTTTTAACTGCTTACAGAGCTGTACATGTCTACTCATTTGTTTTTGGAGGCACTGGTCTACCCATTTATTTTTGCAGGCACTGGTCTACTCATTTATTTTTGTTTTCTTTTAACACTGATCAGCTGTAGGGCAGCCCTTTGAAACCCTGTGGCAAGAGTTTAAACAGTTTTTTCCCCTCTAGCCGATCAGCTGGGACTCAGGAGGCAGCAATAGATTGGGGGTGGGGCCAAATAAAAGGTAAGAATAATGCAGGGGGGGCGGGGGGGCAGAACTGGTTCGGTGACGTCATATCGTCACCGCTACCGGCTCGGCGGAACTGGGCGGAACCGGGAGAAACCCACCACTGAGGAGAAAGGAAGGGGAAGTAGGTAGGAGAAGAAGAGGAGGGGAAGAGAAAGTAAAAAGGAAAGAAAAGAGAGAGGTGGTAGGTTTGAGGAGAAAGATTGCTGTACAATAAAAAAGATGAAATGGAAGAAAGGCAATCCTGAACAAATATAAAGATATTAAGATAAAGAATGAATTGTTTAAAGAATAAAAGAGAACAAATATGAATAAATAGCAATAATTAGAATTTAAGGGCAAATGAAGATGTTCTTTATGTAAGGAAGCATAGAAATATTGAGACATGATAAAAAAAGGGGGAAAAAGATTTTGGCAAAAACAGTAATTGAGTAAAATGTATTTGAATTTGATTAATTGTATAAGATAAGATATGGCCAATGCTCTGTTCAAAAAAGATGTGGGTAAATGTGGGGGTGAGGGGAACCAATAAAACTTATTTAAAAAAAAAAGAGTGAGAAGCAGCTCCCTCCACCCACATAAAGTCAAACATTTCCAAGGTTTCCCTGGTGTTTCGCTCTGGGGGAGGGGAGGGGGTGGATGGCTGCTTCATGCTCCACTGTGGAACCTTCCCAGGTGTTTTTTGCTTCCTGGGCAAGTGGCTTTTTTATTGTGCTGCTGTGCCAGATTGGGGTAGCTACAACTTCTTTCCCTGGCCTTCCTAGGCTCATGCTGTAGCATCTATATAACTTGCATGTGGCCTGCATTGGGCCTCCCAGGGCCTCCCTCACCTCCTAAGGTACCTATGCTTTGCTTAACGACCCATGTATTCATTTAACAGCTGCACCAGGGAGAGCAGGATATGAGTGTCATTAAATGATATCATTTCTCTTAACAGTCATCACCACTTGTGACTGTAAGGGGCGACTGTAATTGCAGTCATATCTTGAGGATTACCTGTACAACTAGTAAATTGTTTTTATGTGTTAAAAGTGGTCTGTAGATATCTCAGGATTCCTTGAACTTACTGTGCTTTCTCTTTCTTTTTGTGTCAACAATTCAAGCTCCTCTTTTGCTTTAGTAAGCTCCCTCTCAAGTCTAGCAGTTGTTTGCAAATCATCTGAAGATAAAGTAAAGTAATCTTAGAGAAACATTATATAACAGATGAATCAGACTGTTCAGAAATTGTTTATGGACCAACCTTTATCCCTCCTGAATTTACTGTCATCTCTGTTAGAAAGCATGGCTGGGATATTCATGCTAGAATCTTCTTGCTTTGGTGCCTTAGAATAAAAATGTGCATACTTGTTTTACTAAAGGCTAGTGGTTGGCATCAGCTGTAACTGTGGGCTGGCCAAATTTTGATCACTTAACCACAGGGATGTTGCTAACATTAAGAACCAGTTGTAAGCCAATTTTTTCCAGTCTAATCGTAACTTTGATCAACTTTGATCACTGAATGAACTGACAATCAGGACTACCTGTAAAGTTGGTTTTGTGTACTTTATTTTTGATAAGCTCATGCCATTTCCAAATAATTAATGTACTGTTTCAACTGTCCATAACCCAACCATTTATTAGCCTATTCTAGAAAGGCTTCCTTTATTGATTGAAGCTGACAGACCTACATAGCATTTCCCCTTTTTCAAAGATGGACCTATTACTATTCAAATCACCTATTCTACATACATTCTGAAGGGCAACAACGTTGACTAGTACCCAAAACTTTTGCTTAGATACATATCTCTATTTTTAATTACCATTTGTTTAGCCCTTGCCACTCTTTCCTTTCATTCAAGCTTCACCTCTATATAATAAAACTACTGCTTTTGCCTCTTGCCATCTGTGGCTTGCCTGATATTCATCTGTCTAACTGTGCTGTCTCATAAACCCAAATACTCTTACATCAATAGAGCCCTCTTGTTGTACAAACTGAACAATAGACGACTCCATTTTTTGATGAGGAATTTGGCTAATCAGTTGCTGATTCAGGATTTGCAGTTCAGAATTCTTCTCTATAAGAACCTGTGCAATCTTCTTGGAATATATCTAATTATACAACAAGGCCAGAAGAGAGAAAGGAAAGCATTAATAAATGGGTCACACAATAAAAATGTTCAATAGTATATTTACATACATACCTATACTTATTGACCAGACAATTTGTTCCCAATTTTACAGAAAAATATAAAAATATTTTTGAGCATCACTACTTTAAAAGAAGTCAAAATTATTAGGAAACTAAAAATCAGCAGTCAAAAACAAAATTTTAAAAGCTTACAAAAAATGAAAGAGAAGATGCATGCAAAAAGGCCAAAAGTATTTATTTTAATACCAGTATATGTTTTGTTTACATCACAGAAAAGGCCCTGAACCTATGCCTTATGATCAAATCAGCAACATAAAAGAATTTATTTTTAGAATGGGTACCATAGTCACAGCACCCTTCTTGAGAGGTGATGAAAATACACTATCACATGCATTTACTACCTTCTTCATTCATTCAAGCAGACAGAAAGAAGAAAAACAATATTTCATAGCCCTTGTTTTTCCACATTTTTTTTTTTTTTACTAATCTTCAGTTCACAAAAAAGCGTTTTTATAAAAAGTAAATAAAATAACATCAAATTCCCATTTAGTGAGAACAGGTTCTGTTAGAATGACAGCCAGACTATGGACCTGTGGACATTCCACCAGAAGACTACTTGGGAAACTGCTGCTGAATACTCCAGGAATAGAATAATGGTGAAATTTCATCAATAAGATTCTTGGTTTTATTGTGATTTTATTGTATCAGGCTCCTCAACCAATGAATAAGTTTTCCTACGATCCAAACAAGAATGGCCATCTTGTTTAAAGATGGCCATCTATAGAGAAAGATGTAGCACTAGACAGGAAGCTAAACTAGATGATGTACAAGATTCCTTTCCCCCTTTCCTTCTGTGATTCTATGATCACTCATTCACAGTGTCCCACTTACATAACTTTGTTGTTCTCTAGTGTTCCATGCTTGAAGTAACTCCTCAAGCTCAGCTACTGGGTCTACAACTTGCTGGTTCTTGTCCCTTAGGAATTCTTTTATGATCTGATCCTTTTGCTGAAGGTGGAGGTGCAGGGCTTCTAAGGTGTCCCTCTGTCCAGGCTCCAGATTGCAGAGCAGTGTTGCTGAAAGGATCTGAGGTAACAGAAAGATAAGCCTGGACGAGATCAGCCTTCTATCCCCTATAGCTTTGCTGCTGCCCTAACTGGAAAACATTAATAACAACGCTCCATCAGCAGCATACTAAAAAACGCAAAATACCTAAACCATATCTGCACCACTGCAAAATCTACTTAACAAAATGGGATAATATCTTATGCATCCCAGCCACTGTGGTCTCAATCTTAAAATAACATAATTGTTCCACAAGTCTTGAATGGTTGATTCCTGTTTCTTCAGCTTCTTTACTAACAAGCTGAATCACAAGTCTTACCTCTACTTCTTTGTTTCTGTCATGAAGCTTCTGGATAATCCTTTCTTGTTCAGATTGCCACTTCTGAGATTTTGCTTCTATATTCTTGATCAGCCACTGCAAATTCTGGTTGGCTGCTAATAGCTTCTCCAGTTCCAGGTCCTTGGCTTTTAGCAAGCTCTCTAAACACTATTAAGGTAAACATGAATAACGAATAGCTCAAGATAAAATAAATCAAATCTGTTTCTGAATTTCCTGAGGTCTAAAACAGTATTAATTCCATCCCTTTTTTATAGTTTTAAAGCCAATCGTATTAGGATAAAAGATAAATTATTCATGAAGCAAACATGCTGTACCCACCCAAGTCTATTTCTTACAGCAGAAGAAGGGAATTTAATACCCTCAGCTATTTTGGACTGCGACTTCTGCTATCCCCAACCATTGGCTATATTGGCTGGCATTCATGGCAGTTCAGTCCAAAATAACTCAGAACACTAGATTGTCTTCCCAGCTTACAAAGTTTTATTCAATCTTAGATAATTTATATATAGTAAAAAAGGAATTTAATGTAGTATTGAGATCTTACAAAATGTCACAGTCAGGATAGGCATGCCAGGATTGATAAACTATCGACTTACCTATATAGAACTGATCTAAAAATTAAGTATTAGGTGTGAACTTCTTTGATTTACCCTCAAGACATGGTTGTCAAAAACAACTGCATTTTACTTTCAATCTAATTATTAGAAACTATGGCCTATAAAGTAACCAGAGCAACTACCCTTATGGTGGCAATTTACCTGGATAGTAGCTTTGTTGCCAGAAATAACTTGTTGTAGACCTTTCAGATCATGATCTTGTTGTTTTATGGACAAATAAAGCTGGTTCAATTCCTGTTCACTATCTTCAAGTGCAGAGAACTTCTCCCCTATGGCTTGCTACAAGAGAATCACACACACACACACAGAAAGAATTGCATGAATAACGAAAGGCAAAAAGTTAAATACTCAGACTGGGGTCTTGCTGCAACTGTCATGGAATTCTTAAATAAGCTTTAGTTTTTCTTGGGTTTCCATAATAGCAGTGCCGCTCAAGGAAAATATGTATTCAGCTTAAGGGGACACTGATATGAGAAGGTTGCAAATATGCATTTTCTTGGGATCAAGCAGCTACCGGTACCATTCAAGCTGCAGCTTCTTTAAGATGCAATTGGCAGGTGCAGTAAACATGTTCATGCCCCAACAGTATTTTTTCCATTTTGAATCTGACTTACATATCTCTAAATTAGAGAAACACAGGACTCACTTAATTTAAAAAAATAAGTTGACATCTTATTCCTATGTCCCACATAGAAAGAAAAGTAGTACACTGCCTCAAAGTCTATCCCAAACATAAACAAAAATTAATAATCAAGAGATTTTCCTAGAAGTTTCTGCAAGCACCTCCAGGGCAGTGTCTTTGTCTTTAATTAGTTGTTGCAATTTCTGTACCATTTTATCAGCAGTTGTAGACGTTTTGTCCAAATTCTGATGATACTCTAAAAGATCCTTAGATTCCTAGGAAAACAGAAGGCATATCAGAATCATCAATAATCTATAAGAAAATGTATACATTTTTTCTATTAGAAAGCACCAGGGGGTAGCTACTGATTTCCATAGTCTTTTCAGGACCTAATACATTTTCCTCAAGATGCAATACAAAATTTGTATTTTCACTGTAAAGTAAAAGTAAAACAAAATAAACAGTGATTATTTTTACTGTTAACAGTTTCAATTTGTAATTGACTGAATTGTTTTACTAGTTTTATATATTTCTGTGGATAATTAGGGAATTTCCATTTTAAAAAGATACAAACACATTTATTAATAAAACAAATAATTTTATGTTTCGCTATACTTGTCAAAATACAATGGAAAATTCAGTTCTTACCATTTCCCCCAGTTTTTAGAGTACTTCAAACTTCAATTTCAAGTTAATTATCCTAATAGAGTAATTAGATATTAGCATATTACTCCTGTCTTTAATTATAATTTGTAAATAAGGTAAAAAGCACTGCTCCTAATGCACATTACTAAAGAATGCCTTCAAAATGTGAACCACCCCCATTTTTTATTCTCTTGAAAGAAGTACCATTCTCTAAAGAAAGCTTTTAATTGATGACTATAATTTGATAACTACAATTTGTCTTTTAAAAGTCCTATCAACAGTGTTTACTAGATGCTTATCTATGCATATACCTGACCCCTTCAAAAATTCTTAATACTGTATAAGAAAGAGTACTAACTTTATAGAAGCCAAATAATTGTTTTAATAAAGTAAATAAAATATATTAAAATATAATAAAGTAAATAAAATATATTGTTTTAATAATGTTTCTCACCATTTTATTTGGCAATCTGTAGCTAAACTCTGAAGCTCAATTCTCTTTTTAGAACTACATTGCTGCTTATCATATTCCAGTACCTGATACAAACTACAGTACACATTATATATATGGCTGGAAAGATTTTCCCTTATAGTAAAACAAAACAAAACAAAAAAACTTTAGAAGTGATTTAGGGAGGCTATTCTTCAGTAGAATAGGATCCATAAAATATGCTCTTGATTATAGTTTTTAATTAATAAAACTTTTTGGCCTCTTTTCTCCTGCCACTCTAAGCTCCTAGGATGGCTTTAAAAGCCCATCTCTGTCTTCTCCTTACCTGTAGAAGCCATTCTTTGCAGGCTAGACTGTATGTCAAATCCTTAATTTTCTGCTCTTGTCTGTGCATCCTCAAAAATGTTTCCTTTTTTAAAGTACAACATTGCATGCTCTTGTTCTGTAGATTTGTTTTTAAGTGCTGAAGAGTAGCAAAGAATTCCTGAAAGAAACAAGTCCCATGATCTTTAAAGCAAATTAGGAAAAGAAATCCCTTCACATGACAAATAATAGAAAAATTGAGTTATGTTAGGGAATGATACATTTAATTACAACCCAAGATAAAACAGAAATATTTAAATCAAATAAGGGAGAAACAGAAAATCATACAACTTGCCTGTTTCTTATTCTAGTTATAGGGAAACAATAATAAAGATAGAATATAAAATACTGATATACTAGATTTAGTAAAAGCTTGTTATTCTGTAATCATTAGGTTCCTGTAACATATATATTGTGCTTTTGTATTTGTATCACACATATTATTCCTTTCTATTTGTATCTCCTGTTACAAACATATTGTCATTAGGCCTCTGAAATGTTATCTGGTATTTGTCAAACATATGTCCCTGCCATTTGACCTGAACTCATATCAATCTCTTTCTGTGCCATCTAAAAGCATGGTACATATCTCTGTTGGAACTACAGCCATCAACAAAGGGATAATTTACACCTCAGCCCTAATTTATGTTTGATCTGGATAAGATCTTGTCTTCCAGAGCCAGGGGCTAAGTGGCCAATTAAGTAAACAAAGAAATGCTTAAGATAAGACTAATTGGAAGTTTAGATTCCTTTGCAGGGCAACAAAGAATACACAAACATAAATTAGGGGCCGGAGTTGGGGACCTAACTGGTGCTTTAAAGGTATAAAAAGAGGTCACATCTTCTCTGAAGGTATGAGCCCTCCCATATACATATCTCTTTGTATGTGTTTGGAATGGTTTTACCCAGCCTTTTGTCTTTGATCAAAGATTAAATGTTGATTCTTATTCAAACCTCCATTTAAGTTTTTCTTTTTGGTTCACTGAGGGCTTAAGTGTACAGCCGGACCTTACATAGTCATAAGAGAAATTAATTTCCAAGAAAGTAATTCAAACTTGTACACATCATGCATACAAGTAGCCTTTTTTCAGGATAAATTAAAACCATCCTTGAGAGTCAGAAATGCCCCAAACCCATTGGATATTAGTTTCAACCAATAATTTAAACTTGGTTAAGTTATAGCTGAATAAATGACCTGAGCAGAAAGCATTGAAACAGTTTGATGTGATAATAATGTTTTCATAAATGTAGACTGCCTTGCCATCTCTTGAAGATAAAATTTCTCATATTGGTTTAAGATAGTGTTCTGAAAGCCATGCCCTTTATCTTCTCCTAAAAATTGTTGGTTCTTTACTACTTAATACCTACTACATGCCCTAATAGTGCCTTTTTAAAAAAAACCATGCTCAAGGGAGCTAAGAGTACTACACAAGAAAGTGAAGCCATGGGGGGAGCAAAACCGAAAATTTCAGAAGATCTTCAGCTATTCTGCTCGTCGCTTCAAAAAGATGAAGATGACAATTAAGTGTTTATCTTGGAATGTGAATGGGCTGAATTCATTACAGAAAAGGAAGAAGTTATTTACATATTTGAGACAATTTAATAATGATATAATTTGTTTACAAGAAACTCATATTAGAACTCAAGATCAAAAATACTTGATAAATTCAAAATTAGGAACACATTTTATAGCTTCAACTTTGCAAAAAAAGAATGGTGTGGTTATTTATGTAAATAAAAGACTGACAGCTAAAATTATAGAAGCAGATGAAGATGGTAGGTTTATAGCAATTGAACTGCTTACAGTAAATGGCCAAATTCTTCTGATTGGAATTTATGCTCCTAACCAACAACAGGATCATTTTTATAAAACTTTACACACTAAAATACTGCAATGGGATTATAGATCTATTTTAATTATGGGAGATTGGAATGGAGTAATTGATTCTAAATTAGATAAAAAGAGTCCGGCAAAATCAAGGATTAGATTACCACAGACATTTTTCGATATGAAAGAAGATTTGGAATTAAAAGATATCTGGAGAATACATAACCCAAAAGAATTGGACTATACTTTTTTTTCTGATAGACATAGATCCTTCTCTAGGATTGATTTTATTTTGTTATCAGATGATCTACTTGTTAAGACAAAAAGAACAAAGATTTTCCCAAGAACTTTGACCGACCATAGCCAGTATGGATAGAAATTGAGATGGGTAAGATTGAGAGACGATCATGGAGACTAAATGAAAACTTGTTCAGATATGAAAAAAATATAACAGAACTTAAAAAGCAGCTGAAAGAATTTTTTGAAATAAACTTGAATAAGGGTACCCCAATTGAAATTGTGTGGGATGCGAGTAAAGCTTATATGAGAGGGGTACTCATTCATATGAATTCTAAACATAAACTGAATCGACAAAAGAAAAGATCTGAACTGGAAGCAGAAATAAAGAATAAAGAACAGCTACTTATTAAAAACCCAACAGATGAAAGAATACGTGGTGCTATAAAACTTTTGAAAGATCAATTCCAAATGCTTATGGCGGAACAAGTTGCAACAAATTTACAATATGCGAAGCACAACACATTTTGTAACGCCAATAAACCGGGCAGATGGTTGGCCTATACATTAAGGAAGAAGCAGAGCATACGGACTATTGATAGTATTGATATTGGAGGGAAAGAAATTTTTCAACAAAAATTAATTAAAGAAGCTTTTGTAGATTACTATACCAAATTATATGCCAAAGATGATATGCAGAATGGACTTATAGAAAAATATCTAGATAATAAAAGAGTCACAAAAATTACTAATCAACAAAAGGAAAGAATGAATTATCCTATAACAGAGGAGGAGATAATAGTAGCAATCAAACAATTAAAAACAGCTAAAGCTCCTGGAACGGATGGTTTGACTGCAGTGTATTATAAAACTTTGCAAGCAGAAATGGTGGAACAACTCAGAGACTTATTTTGTAACATTCAACAAGGGGGTAAAATACTCCCATCATGGACAACAGCTTATATTTCTTTGATACCAAAAGAGCAAGTAGGTCCTAAAAAACCAGAGAACTATAGACCAATATCTCTTTTGAATAATGATTATAAAATTTATGCAAAAGTACTAGCCAACAGGTTGATGCCAGTAATCCAAGAAGTGATTCATGATGATCAAGCGGGATTTATTGAGGGCAGATACATGAAGGACAACGTAAGGCAAGTAATAGATTTATTGGAATATCTTGAGAGGAATAAACAGGTACCTGCAGTGCTGGTCTTTTTGGATGCAGAAAAGGCCTTTGATAGAGTGGACTGGACTTTTCTATTAAAGACTTTAAAAAAGATGGACTTTGGGGACCAATTTATACAGGCGGTTCCAGCAATTTACCAAGAGCAAAAGGCACAGATTATTATTAATGGAAGTCTGACAACAGATTTTAAAATTGAAAAAGGAACAAGACAAGGATGTCCGTTATCCCCATTGCTATTTATTTTAACACTAGAAGTCTTGTTGAATACAATACAGGACTCTAATATCTTGAAAGGCATAGTGATAAGGCAAGAGGATTACAGAATAAAGGCATTTGCAGATGATCTGGTTGTTACCCTAACACAGCCGATGGAATCAATAATCCAGATGAAAGACATTATACAAGACTATGGTACAGTATCAGGTTTTAGATTGAACCAGAAAAAAACTAAGATGATAGTTAAAAATATGACACAAGATCGCAAACACGAACTTGAAAGAAAGGCAGGTTTTGAGATTGTACCAAAGGTTAAATATCTAGGAGTTCAGGTTGCAGATTCAAATTCAAAATTGTTTCAAAATAATTATGAGGTGTTGTGGCGAGAGGTACAAAAGGATATGGAGACCTGGAAAAAAACTGCAGCTGTCGCTACTTGGAAGAATAGCAGCAGTTAAGATGAATATTTTGCCAATATTTCTTTTTTTGTTTCAAATGATTCCGGTGCTTAAAAGCGATAAACAACTGAGTGAATGGCAAAGAGGAGTGAATAAGTTTGTCTGGAATGAGAAAAAGCCGAGAGTTAAACTGAAAATTATGCAAGATGTCCCAGAAAGGGGAGGCCTTAAACTTCCAAACCTACAACTGTATTATAAAGCAGCGGCCTTGACGCAAGCAAGTGATTGGTTTGGAAGGATAAAGACTGGAATATTGAATATAGAAAGTCATGATCTTGAATTTGGTTGGCATGCATATTTATTCTACGAGAACGAAGTGGACAAAGTATTCAAACATACTTAGGAACTCTTTGATGAGAGTCTGGAAGAAGCACCGATTCAAATGGGATTACAAAATACCGTTATGGCTGGATCTTGGTCATATTATGTGGAATACAAATATAATGTCACTCGGGGGGGGGTTTATACAAAGAAGTTCTTTTTATGGATGGGGGCAGATGGCAACTAAAGATATTAGAAACACTGTTGGAAGAAGGGATTAATTTAACTTGGCTACAGTATAATCAACTCCAATTGAGATGGAAAGAAGATCAAAAACTTGGTATAATGATGCATGAAGAAGAATTGGTTAGACATATAAAAGAGAAAGGTCCAATGCATATTAAGAGGGTTTATAATGTTTTGTTAGAAAGAGACTCGGAAAATGAACTGGTTAAAGATTGTATGATTAAGTGGGCACAAAATTTCGAAGAACCAGTGGTGTTGGAAACATGGGAAAAAATTTAGGTTCAGAATGTTAAATTTACACAGTCACAGAATTTGAGGGAAAATTTCTATAAAATGTTTTATAGATGGCATTTAGATCCTAAGAAATTGTCATGCATGTACCCTAATGTTCAGCCAAAATGTTGGAGATGTGATTGTTTAGATGCTACATATTATCATATCTGGTGGACTTGTAAGGAAGTTAAGGCTTTTTGGATAAAAATTTGGTGGGTTATGCAGAATGTTTTGAAGAAAAAAATTCAATTTTCTCCACAATTGTTTTTACTGGGTATAGTTAAGGGTTTTACATTGGGTGAAACAAAGTTGATATTGCATATGATAACAGCAGCAAGATTATTGATAGGTAAATATTGGAAAAATAAAGCTTTGCCCACTATCGAGGAATGGACTTTGAAGATGGCCAGTTT